CGGCAATTTCATCTTTTTTCAATTTCGAATGCATGCAAAAAACTGGCATTCATATTCCTAATTTCAGCGTTTATTCAAGAACCTATCTTTAGTCATCTTGCAGCCTTGTGATATTTCGTCTTAGATAACACGAGTTCACATTGAATTACCACGTCACCGAAACTGAACAATGGAGGAAACCAGTGACGAATATTTTAAAAGTCATCATTCCAGCTGTGGTGTTTTCCGTGTTTGTCATGAGAGCTGGAACATGTACCAACTGTCTGGTACTATTTTCAGTTTCCGCAACTAGTCTATACAAACTGGTTGTATTTATAGTTTTAGCACATGTGAAGACAGCCATGTAGAGGTTTACAAACACAACGTTTTTGTGTTTATTTGTTTGTCGTATATATGTTTTGTGTTTGCCTTTGAAAAAGACTCATTAAGAGTCGAAAGCGCTTAGGCTAGTTATTTATTAGTTACGTACTGTTCGTCGTCAGTTTATTGGATATATATATATATATATATATATATATATATATATATATATATATATATATATATATATATATATATATATATATATATATATATATATATATATGTATATATATATGTATATATATATGTATATATATATATATATATATATATATATATATATATATATATATATATATATATATATATATATATATATATATATATATATATATATATACATATACATACACATATACATAAACATATACATATACATACACATATATGAAGATAAAGTGAACAAGATATCTCTCGTTTTATATGCGAGAAACAATAGTTCATAATTTATTCACATCATTAAGTTTTTTCTCGTGTAACAGGGAAAATATGAACGACGGTTGCAGGAATGGAGCTCGGACACAATACTCCTTACTAACTAAACGTGTAGCTAAGTATTTAAGCCATTCGAGCCAATGTCTTATATTACACATTCCCCCGCCTTTGGAGGATTAGTTGCGTGTTTTCGTCAACCGCCATTACAAGTTCTCTATTTAGAATGAAAGATGTTCAAACTTGAGAGATAATGTTAAGGCTTATCCCACCGTTTCCACTAAATATCACAGGGGTGTAATCCAGATTGTCCGTATGGTAGCCGTTCGCATTAGAAAATGACCATCTGAACAAACATTGTTCTAGTTTTGTTGTTGCTGTAGGTACATTATGTAAAACAAATGTTCCGACGACAATGTCTTGTTTAAGAGGTGCGGGTATTGACGTATTGCTTTGGCAACTAGTCCAAACAGCCATTGTTTTAACGTTAAGTGCACTAATAATGACTAAGACATAAAATATTTTAATGGTAGCAACATGCTAACAACATTAATTATTGACAGTATTATTTTCTTATTACATTTATACATACATACATACATACATACATACATACATACATACATACATACATACATACATACATACATACATACATACATACATACATACATACATACATACATACATACATACATACATACATACATACATACATACATACATACATACATACATACATACATACATACATACATGCATACATACATACATACAAAACCTGACTATGCGGAAACATTTACATTTTCGGCTAATAATTCTGAAACCGGTAAAAACAGTTCAATCTAATTTTCAACCACAACCATGGTGCATGTTGTCAAACAAGATGCCCATATGTTCCAACAGATAATTAAAATTTTCCACGTTTAATAGTTTTATGTCATCGTAGAGAGAATTTTGTATCAGAATACCATGTCAGTTAAGAGTGATAAGCAAGAGCGTAAAAAGATTACTTTGAGTATAGGTCTTTACATACAAGGTAGAGCCCTAATAATTCTCTCGTATTCAAGCTGGCTCTGGGTTAGATATTTCTTTATATACATTTAGAAGTTTGAAACCAAGCAAAGTAAACGATAAGCTTTAAAACAACCCTCACCCAGAAAACACCCAACAAAATTTGATTAAATTAATATCAAGATCATTTTTGGTTCAGTAAGACATTGGGTGACTCAACCATTATTGGCATTATTGGTATTATATATTATGGAGGTTCTCCTGCCGATATGAATATTCAGTAAGAAAGCAGAGTTCTTTTAATAATGCAGGATAATTAGAAAGGACTGTGTGAATTACATGGCCAAGGTGAAAATGTATAAATTTACAATTATAAATTTACGATATGCTGACACATATTTTAGTACCTCCTAGCAAGAAATTATTAATATTTATATCAGATCCATATTTAAAATCATTATTTCCAATTTCAATATATAAAGAAAAGAAGATCCACAATTGAAGAAAGCCAATGTTATCTCTAGTTTACATTTCAAGTTTAAGAAATTAAACGCTTCATATCAGATTGAATATAAAACATGCGTACATATAATGACACATAAGAACTGGACATTATTTGATGAGAACATGAGAGAATAAAATAGGAATATGTTTTGTATGCATGAATTGCTAGCGAACAAAGTAAACGTGAATGAGCAAAAGACGAGTAAAGTCATAGTGAATACTTGTCAGAGATACAGTCATAGTGAATACTTGTCAGTTCCAGCCGAATAAATTCAAAGTAATGAGTCTTTTGTTCACCATTTAGAATCGTGGTCTCATTCAAAGGTGTTTGGTGTCTATCTTTCATGAAAGAACAAAACAATAAAAGCAAAATGGATTTTAGACAATGAATGTCCTGTCTTAAATTACGTCTTTTTTCAACAGCAAAATTCGATGGGATCGAGCGAGTTATTCATATTTAATAGCACATGACTCAAACAGACATACTAACTAAATTTAGTGCTAATTTGTTAATTCATATTCAAGCAGTAAGACGTAATAAGGAAGTTTTGTTCAATTTATGTTGATCGGAAAATACAGAAGTTCATATTGTTATAATAGTGACTACAAGGAGAAAATTTGCCCTTTTCCGAGACGAGTGGCAGTTGAAGAAATGACAAAATGCTAACGGAAAAGGTTCCCTGGATTCTCTTCTATCTTATTTTGGCAACCACAACTTGTATAAGTAAGTATCATCTACAAAAATTAATATTTTTGTAAATTTATTAAAATACAACTATACATTACATAAAGTTTGTTCTATGCAAATTCATAAATAATCAAATTATGCTGTAGAAAGAATAATAGAAGCAAAGACGTTGTGGGTTACACTTGAGTCCTGTACATTTTCACATTACCTTTTTCTCTCCGCTAGTTAAGATTGTTGAAGTCCTTTCCACTCCTATTTTCATAAAAAAAAAACTTAAGACAAAGATAAGCAATATGTTATAAGGTTTGTGTGTAAGAGTCATACCTTTCTGGCAATAACATAGCTTCCATTTTGTTTGTTTTTTTTCTATCACGTTAATCCAATGCACACAAAGACTGAGTAGTAGTTAAAAATTAATTTCAAATCAATCTTTTCAGTTCTCACCTAATTTGTCGTAAAGCAATTTATGCGTATATATATATATATATATATATATATATATATATATATATATATATATATATATATATATATATATATATATATATATATATATATATATATATAGAGAGAGAGAGAGAGAGAGAGAGAGAGAGAGAGAGAGAGAGAGAGAGAGAGAGAGAGAGAGAGAGAGAGAGAGAGAGAGAGAGAGAGAGAGAGAGAGAGAGAGTTGGTGTTGATCAAATACACAGGTTTCATAAGTAAGTGTAAGATACGTAAGACTGCATTGAATTTGTTCAGTATGAGTCTACCAGAATCAATGAGAGAATTGAAAATTACAAAAACAGAATCATTAAAAATATATATTTGCATCTGTATGAAAACCTTTCCAAACTGAAATTTTGATTTCTAAAAGTTATTATACGTTTCCTCTTCTATATCTTATTTATGACATGTTATTTTAAGATACTTTATACACGACTTACAAGTTGTAACACGGAGAGAGAGAGAGAGAGAGAGAGAGAGAGAGAGAGAGAGAGAGAGAGAGAGAGAGAGAGAGAGAGAGAGAGAGAGAGAGAGAGAGTAGCTATTAACATTTTTTTAAGTTATGAAAGCGATATATGTACAGCGTATGGAAGTGTACCAATTGCATATCACCTGTTGCCAAAGTGTGAGGGCGTTCGCGTGTTTGTGTGTATGATTACTTGGTGGTAGGAGCTGCAAAGTTTTGAAGTAATGGTACAGGGTCGGTAACAGGGGCTAGAGTCTGTATTACGAGTTGACAAATTTGATGATGAGAGACAACACCAGCTTCGCTATATGATCCATGTTTATGACTGAAAATAAGACTAAAGTACATCTGAAATTTTCTAACCACAGCAACCAAAAATTAGTATCTAATAGTATGTTCATTCCTGAAATAAATGCATATAGTAGAAAAACACGCAAAAGAAAATGAAGGTAACCAGGTTTGTGTGACAAGTACATTTAAAACGTTTTGTTCAGTTAGCGTAGCGACCATAATTTTTAAGCTCAGGTCTGACTGCATTCTTAAATACCATTTTGGGCTTTTCCCGAGTGTGAAAGTTTATTATTATTCTCTTTTTGATATAAAACAGATTTGAAAGATTTACAATTTTCAAAACAAATGTCACCAAAAGTTTAAAAATGATTTGTTCCCAGTCTCCATGCAATAAAAACTCGGCTGAAATAAAGAGAAAAACATTGATTAGAAAAACCCCACAAGACGTTTGATAAAGTCTGAGTTTTGAAATAATTGACATTAGATAAGTATGTTAATTGGGTGGGTGGGTGGGTGGGTGTGTGATTTAGATTTTTAACGGTGCTTTAGCAATTTTTCACGTATATCGCTACAATGTTTGCAGTGTCACAGTTTAATGTAATGTCTAACACTGAAGCATCATGCTGCAAACATGTAGCATGATGTTCCACCCAGTCACATTATCCTGACAATAGGTGGACCAGTCCTTACACTAACCTCCTAATGCTGAGCGCCTAGCGAGGCAACTGCTAGTACCATTTTTAGAAGTATTTGGCATGACTGCATGGGTTAGAACCCATGACCTCCCGCATTTCAGGCAGATGCTCTAACCACTAGGCCACCGAAGAGGTCTATTAATTGTGTGTTTTGGTCTGCTCTCTGCAGGTTGTAGGGGTGGATGTATGTAAAGTCGGATATCAATGATAACATGGAATGAAGAATGTAGATAAAGGGGCGCTGACCAGTTATTATGTACTTTTAATGGAGTGACGTATCCAAGGCGATGTTGTTTGCATTTAAAACATGTACAGTTGAGAGAATGTTGGCATTCTTCTGTGCTACATTGACTTTTCTTTGGATATTGTACTTCTGAAAGTTGTAAATGATATACGCTCACTGCTAACTAAAATGATTGCTCCATTGTGCTCCATAAATTAGCCTGAATTTTTCTAAAGCACCCTATCATTAGCAGCTACTAAAATAGGAATAAATGAATTTTACCAGACTAGACAATACCGGCTACTGAAAGTGCAACGCATGAATTACCAAATACGCAAAACGTAAAAAAAAAATATCGGCTCTTTTTTTAACAATTTACCTCTGAAGTTCAGGAAGTGAAAATGTTCAAGTGGAGCTAGAACTTTTTTGAAAGGTGCATATAAGGAGTAAGTCCAAACTGTATACACTATAACCCATTTGATACTCATCAATCATACATCAAAATAAAGAGACTTAAAGGTTTTGTTTAACAATACCTAAGATATACAAGGTCTTTTTAAATAGCCCGGGGGAAATTCTTTCTCTTTAAAATTCAAATCTTTGCAAAATACGAAACTGTAGAGCGCCACCTAAATGGACAAAGATCTACAACGTTATGCAAAAATGCCAGGAACAAATTTAGCTCTAGAGCCATCTTTTCAACTTTAATTACTTTAAAGGTACATAGTTAAACCGTGTCGAGCTGTATACATTCTAACCATGTATCTCATGGTCTGTCTCGTGGTTTTAATGCTTTAACTCACCTATGCACAGTGAAACATATTTGTGTATGTAAACTACATACTTATCTTTTATTACATCTTAGGAATGTTCAATATATTGATAATGATGGTGATGATCATGGTGGGTGCGACGACGATAATGATGATGATGATGATGATGATGATGATGATGATGATGATATATAATTTCTATGATCATAAATAAAACAAAATGAAAAATACCTGTTTTGAAATATAGCTGTCCTAAAATGATGATTGTAAAGCGTTATCTGCGATTTGATCTATGAAAGATATGTGGTGATGAACGAAAGGAATCTTGTTATAATAGTATAATCTACACGTTTAGTCGCAGAAGACTAAAATAAACAAAAGACAGATAATAAAAGAAAACAGTGAATATTTTTGAGTTAATTAGAAAAATCACATACTATTATGTGGACATATATACTTAGTTCTTAGGATATTCATTTGAAATATAACGCTGCCTTCTACCTTATTTCCATATAATATTCTTGTCTAATCTAACCAGTCTAGGGAACTAGTATCTCTAAGAACTGCATGTTTTCTCTCTCCACACAAATTTTAATTTATTTTGTTTTTCTTGTTTGATAATGACAAAAGATTTTATTTACATTAATCAGGCATAAAAATACATATACTTCATTATAATATTACGCTCCTCTACTATGCATATGGTTTTATCTCGAGAAAACCTTGAAGATTTTCTTAAATTGACGAATTTGAGAGTTCTCTTCCAATAATAAAAGTTTGAAATAGATATAGCTGTGGCATAAATTTGGTAATACTTGGCTCATTTGGCTCACTAAGTTGTAAAGATTATTATTATAACTGGTTGTAATCTGAAACTACACATTTTCCATCCATTTTGATAAACATTTATATCAGCAACATTCAATTATTGTGGAATATTACACATGATATAATCATGGAGTAATGCATTCCATTACACACATGTACATATTAAGCCATGTCAACTCTGGATTTTCCTATTTTTCTTTCAGATGGATCTTGTAATTTTCCATCCCAGTTCCAGAACTCCTCCTGGTGGGACAGCACAAAGGGACTTTTGACTTTTACCGTTTCTAACATGAGTGGGTGGAAATTTAATGCCTATACCTCCGTTGTCAACAATTGGGAATGTTGGAACATTACATCCTTCCAGACGAATGGCTATTTCATCATCAAGTAAGATCTTCTACAGCAAATACAGTTAAAGTTACATCTTCTTGGTCATCGTACAATATATATGAATACTATCTAAATATCTAGTTATTACTTTTTTCTAAAATTTCGTCATAAATATGATCATGTTGAAATATTCTTTATTAGCTATTCCCTCCTTATTTGTTCAGTATCTTCAAAGGATATCTTCAGTTGCCTTCTCATTTCATTATCAATTACTAACGTAACAAATACATGCATTTTCGTATTAAAACATAGTTTAGTACATTCATGAATTAATTATAACACTCAAGGTGCTGAATACTTACTATTCCAGAATCGTTGATTCAGCTACAAATGTATATACAGCATAAATTAGATCGTATCATAATATGGAAGCCTAAATTACGAAATACAGTATACTCGCTTATAAAACAAGTCCGTCTGCAGACTGCACAGACACATGTCTGCCGTCGCATAATGCACTTCCAGATCTGGGTCCTTGAAGTTTGTTAGGAATAATCAGTTAAAACAAAACATATGCACTGATATGCACGCTCATTATGCTGCGGTAGATCGTAATCTTCACTGTTTGTAGTTTAACTCGACTTATAAACTGAGTACAGATGGTAAACTATCGTCGTCAGTGTAAGTCTAATTCGTCGTCTCCCGGATCCCTATATATATTTTCAGAATTATGTACAAAGTTAAAACCCTCATAATCGAGCAAACATAATCGTAGAATACCAAACGTTCTTTTCTCCAACTAGAATCGTATTATCATGCATCAGAAATCATTTAAACATGCATTTAAAGCTAAAAAGTTTGTAAAGCAATTATAATTAATCTCATTGCAACAATTTACCTCATTTGCTAGACATCTGATAACTAAATACAATTTTACTATAGGTCTACAGATGCCATCTACTTTTTCGGGGTTAATTATTTTGCGTATCTCTGTCTGAAGATGACAAAGGTGACAGACTACTCTTACTACTACTACCAGCAATACGGTAAGAAAAGGGTTTTATGTGTGTGCTTATGTGCATGGGTTATTTTGTGTGTGTGATTCTGTGTTCTGGGGTGGGGTGAGTATTGGGGTGGATGAGTGTCGGGGTGGGATGCGTGGTTGATATATCAAGAAAAATAACTAACAAAATTAGCAGGACATCCCTTTAAATTTATTGACGGAACCAGATGGGCTTTAACATCTGACTTCTCAAATAGAAATCTATTTTCTGATAACAGTGCAGCCACATTTTGGAACTGTTTTATTCTACTTGGTTTTGAATAATGTCTTTAATTTTTTAAAAATAGGATTAACATATTTTCCGTGTGTCAATTTTTGTGCTTCATAACATTAAACCTAACAAAATGTCGTTAAATATTTTAATTTATTTTTAGCGAACGTTATAAACCTTGAAAAGAAATTTGTGGAGACATAATTTGATTCACTAACTGGCTACAAATGAATGAATTTTTTTGTTTTGTAAAAATAATAGACATTAATTGAAAGCTTATCATAAACTAACCCGAACACAGAGAGTGAATGTACCGGCTTATGGTGTTTCATGTCACTGAAGTTTTACTGTCGTTAAGACATTCAACATAATTTGTACTCCTCTACTCAAAAAATGGAAAAAATAAAGAATAAAATCCTATTTCGAGTTTCAAGTTTAATTTGGATGATATAACACATTTGCTTTTATTACACGTATGACAATATTTTCTCAAACCTATTAGTATATATTAATAGAATATATGAACGAGTTGGGTAGGGAAGTTGGGAAACATTTATATACTAGAGCAAGGCTTGGTAGAGTACCTGTCCAAACATCCTGACCTTATAGTAGCATTTCTCTGACCCACTCCAAAGTTTTGCTGTTATTTATCACTAAGAGGTAGTAACAAGAAAGAAAAATATCAAAGCCTCGTTTTTCCAAATTGTGGAAGGAAATTTCCACTTCAATGCATATGATGGATTCTATTAAATCCTATTTGGGAATAACTTTCTTTAACGCACAGTCTGCATGTTACATATAAGAATACATTTACATCAATATATCTGACAGCTAATTCTTGTTAATCAGAAAACAGATGAATTGATTTCCTTTTATTTCATTTTCGATTTAGAAAGTTATTTTGGTATTTTGAATAATATAAAATCTCGCAAAACAGTTAAAAGTTAATGCATAAATCATTTTGTAACAAAGGTTTACACTTGTATACTATTATATAATTATTTTCTTTCAAGGCCAGCAACTTCAAGCATACAACGAACGAGTGTATGTAATAAATAATCCATCAGTTACGGATTTAAATATCATTTGTAATTCGGCTGACTCAGCAAAGGACGGCGAATTTCATGTTCTACTTAAGCAAGGTAAGTTTTATTGAAATATATATATATATATAAATATATATATATATATATATATATATATATATATATATATATATATATATATATATATATATATATATATATATAGACACACACACACACACGCAACATCAAATATACATATATAAATCGAATGAGATTATATGTTGATTTTGGACAATCACATAACACACACAAAACAAACACTTCCTTGGTAAATTTGCCTGCTTGCTTAGAAAACGATAGTTTACATTCTTGATGCCAATGGAAATGTATATTAACACAGGTATAATGTATATAGTATACTTGATTGTCAGTTAATATTCATGTGCAGAATAGTGAAGTTAATTGATGATTCACTCCATAAGATTGTTGGCATCACGTATATTTTTCCTTTTTATTAAACAATAAAGATTATATATATATATATATATATATATATATATATATATATATATATATATATATATATATATATATATATATATATATATATATATATATATATATATATATATATATATATATATAGGTAAAGAAGTGGACGCAAAGAGAGA